CCTTTTACCGTTTTATGGAAAATTGCTTAGTTCTGTTCGTTCTTGTTTACCATTCTCTATTGCCGAATTCCTATCCGTATTAACAACACAATACCCCGAGACTGAGTGGCCCTGCTTGGTCGGCTTGACCCCTTCGAATATACCATTTCCCCTGATGTTCCTTATTCTTTGATGATAGGGAGAGACTATTTTTCCCTATAAAAGTGACTATTTTCCTCTATTTTCCCCCTACTTTTCCTTTTTTTATAAACCGAATTTCCAGATTTTCTCGCCCATAAGAACTCATACCGCACCACCGGCCATACGTGATCCTCGTTGGTCCATTTTCCCATGACTCAATACTTTCGAGCAATTTTCCATGATCAATGATGGCCGGTCCCCAAACTGTGTAAAACAGATGAGTTGTCCATTATCTTCGTCTTTTACGGTCGAGTAAATATACAACTTCGCCTGAAAGCCTGTCTTCCGTGTTCTCTCTAGTCGGATCTCGGGGATTGTACTGCTTCGTGGGGCGTTTTCTTTCCGGTTCTATTGAGACTTGCTTGGGAGTACATCAGTCGGGTCCACCAGTGTACCACCACTAGTCTGTTGGGTCGTAAGGTTCTGTTTGTGGGTCACTGCTGTCGCACGTATCGTTGGTCACGGCTCGTGCTAATCCAGTCGTATTACCCACTCTAACGTTACAACATTGGTATGGTGGTGTCTAGCGAGTGGCATGACTTGGTATCCCATGACATTTCGATTTACCCTGCCTGGTTTCCGAGCCGGATTGCTGATAACTTGAGGTATATTGTACATATTGCCTGTTTATTCGTATCTAATACTCGTAGATTACCGAAAAGTGCTCTATTTGCCTAGGCTTAGGGGTTCGTTTTCTGCGCGTCACTTCATCACTGGACGTCAATCCGATACAGTCGGTCGCTGGACAAAAGCCTATTGGTGAAATTTGAAAACAAATAACGTAAAGGTTCGACTACATGCAGCTTCTTCGCGACCACACCGGACTATAAGCGATTCGTATTGTTTGGCTTATCTCAAACAGTTTTTGCCAGATATTGGAAAGTGGTATACCTCTTATTTCTTAAGTTATTCGTTATGGGATGACTCAAACATTCAGTGGGTTGGATTGTCCCAAGGTTACCATCATAATCAGCTGTGGACTGTAGGCCGACCTATAGTTGTCATCTTGTTCATCTCAGGTTTGTCGGCGATTATTCTGCACACTACGTCTGCGTGCCACATTGCAAGGGCTGTTCTCGGTCTGATTCGTTATTTGATCTTCAACAATAACACCAAGGACTAATTGGGACCCATCAGTGGCACAAATAGTAGACTAATACACAAAAACCGCGATTGCGTCAGTTCCGCAACTTAAGGTCAAACTTGACCTGTCATATAATTCTCTCGATACGTAACCAATTAAGGTTGTATGTTGTTAGTACGAAATTCAATACCTCACCAGTTTTGCATTGTCGTACAACCCGAATAACTGAATCATCGGTGAAAAATATCTACCCGCGTGACCTTGTGTGCGCTTTGGTCACCTAAAAAAGCGAACGAATAAAGTGGAAATCAAGTTCAATGAAAAATGAGACCACTGGAAGTACAGAACATCGAAGATAACAAACGGCTAGGCCACCGGATCGATCGATCGTCGTCTGTACAGTAAAAGGTTACCTAATGCTCAAGTCGGGGTAGTCGATCGATGAGATATCCTACTATATGAAAATAGAAAAATTGCTTAGCACCGTCACTATCAGGTAGGTGATGTTGACAACTCCAAAACGATTATGGTTATTTTGAGCTGTATGCTGAAATAGGCACCAAACGGATTGGAGCGAAACGATACGGACGACAGTGAGGTTAATACCTACCACCCCAGTTGAGCGACAGTATATCTCGAACCTTCAAATTTGGTGCAGGTCAGTGAGTAGGACTATCACTAATAGCCAAGCCTCCAAATTACTCACTTAAAATTAACACTAGATGGGAAAAATCCTATAGACTACAATTGACTGATTCCTCAACACGGAGTTACATAGGGTGTTTTTTCTTCCAGTTGAAGGACGGATCAAAAGTGTAAGATTAGGGAATAGAGGTTCAGTATTCTTCAGTCTTGGGTTCAACATAAGTTAGTGACTCTGATCCGTAAACCTCAAGAATGAATGACTCAGTTCAGTGAGCCTCAATTGCAGTAGCTGTGTAGCCGATCACTGTCAATGAGCATTGTGGATTAGAAACAGTCATCTATCCACAGGTGCATTGAAGTCTACTACGGTATCGCCTGTCACCCCAAGATAGGTCTTGAGCGCGCCTACACCAGGCAAACCGTTCACAGGGAAACGTTCAGCTTTGACAAGCAGAAAGCCAAACGTTTCACACAACACCGACGAAAAGTTTCAGATCAATAGGGACTGTGAAGCAGCATTTTAAATAACCACCCATAGCACAATATCCAACAACCGCCTCCTCATCTCTCCTTCGTCATTCCTAGGATTTTTGCTCTTTTGAGAATGATTCCGTTACGACTAGTTCCCGAGTTCATCCGCACCAGCCTCGTGCGCGAACTGACAGCGACGCTGGTCGTATGTGAATGTCACATTCGCGGTTTTCAGTCACCCTGTCATTACAACACTGTGAGAGATGTTGCTTCTCTCTTAACTTTCCTCCTCACTTATAACCTTAACCATTTCAAGAACCGGAATGCGCTTGTTCTCATTCGGACGTTTTACACACCAAATGTCTCTTGTGTACAGTTGACCGTGCCCGTTTGCGGCGGTAAAACCGAATAGAAGTTCTCAAATGGTGAAGGCAGTGAGTGTTGAATGCTCACCAAACGCCCGCAACGAGCAAATCGTGAAATGGGAACGCATTTCACGAACTCCTTAGTCGTACGAGGACTGAGTGAAATGTTTCGGGATACACAGTAAACGAGTACGAAGTATAGATGACTGGGCAAGAAAAACGTGAACTGTAGTCTACTTTGAATATTGTTTAATGACTGCAAATCACAAGACCAAATATCAACAGCCAAGAACAGCTCATTAGTCATAAAGGTCAAAATACTAGGACTGTAAGGATGGAACTCAGTCGATGACATGAGTGACTTTGTACGATCACAAATGTGGTTCAACGTTGCAGCAGCAGCAGTGTTGACCGTCTGCGAGCTGCCTTTAGTGATGACGCGCTTTCAAGAAGCATAATGTACCAGTGGTTTGCGGAATTCAAGACTGGCAGGCAGTCCCTGGATGATGGCACACTGTGTGGTTAACCTGTGGAGGTCACCACAGCGAAAAACA